CTCTCTCTCTCATTTTTTGAGACAGGGTTTCTTGGTGTAGTTTTGGTGCCTGTCCTGGATCTCACTCTGTAGACCAGGCTGGCCTCGAACTCACAGAGATTCACCTGCCTCTGCCTTCCGAGTGCTGGGATCAAAGGTGTGCGCCACCACAGCCCAGCGTCTCTCTCTTTTTTAAACAATATTTTTAGTCTTTGAGAATTTCAGGCATTGTGTTTTCAACATATACACTCCCCAGCTCCCTTTCCAGCTTCAGAATTTCTTCTTCGAGTCTAGTTTGTACTGCCCAGCTAGTCTTGGGAGTGGGACCTGCCCTGGTGTTTGGTCAACCTACCAGGGCTTACATCATTTTATAACATTTTAGCTGCAGGCTTTAAAAAGATGCTTGCTGCTGCCCTCTGTATTTTGAGGCTGAGATTTGTTTTACCTGTGGGAAGAAAAGGGCAGAGCCTTGGGTTGAGGTAAGTAAGAGTCCTAGTCAATCTTGGCTTTTTCTACTATGGCATGGGCAGGCCTCGGTATGGACCATAGTGTCCCTACTCTTTCTGGAAGGTCTCAGGACTTGAAAACACTTGCATAAAATAAATCAACAAATAATTATGTTTCAACCCTGACAGTGACATGTCTTGGCTATCATTTAAGGTTTTAGATGCCACAAAGCGTTTAGGCTGTGAAGAGATGGAAGGGTACGAGCCCCTCAAAGCTCATCCATTCTTTGAGTCCATCACATGGGAGAATCTGCACCAGCAGACGCCTCCGAAGCTCACAGCTTACTTGCCGGCCATGTCAGAGGATGATGAAGACTGCTATGGCAACGTAAGCTGGCATCTACGGGGAGTAGTTCAGGCAAAGAGATGCTCTGCTTGCCATGCTGTATGAACACGGTTCCTTGGGACCATAATTTGTGCGATTACTAGTTAAAATGTGTGAGTGAGCCAGGCTGCAGTGGTGGCACACACCTTTAACCCCAGCACTTGGGAGGCAGAGGCAGGTGGATCTCTGTGAGTTCAAGGCCAGCTTGGTCTACAGAGTGTTCCAGGACAGCTAGGGCTGTTACACAAAGAAATTTTCTGTCAAAAAACAAAACAACAATAACAACAAAAGAGAAAGTTGGGGCTAGAGATCACTCAGTGGTTAAGAGAACTTTCCATTCTTCCATGGGTTGTGAGTTTGATTCTCAGCACCCATGTACTGGCTCACAAGTATCTGTAATTCCAGTTACAGACACCTTTTCTGGCCTCTGGGAGTACTAGGTTCATACAAAGTGCACACACACACACACACACACACACACACACACACACACACACACACACACACACAAACACACAAACACACACAAGCAAAAGTCCCAAATACATAAAATAATAAATACAAAGATTGAAAGTTCATGGTCAGTCTGGCTACTAAGTTAGGCACTGTCTCAGAACAAAACAAGCAAAAAACCCAAACAAAGAGGGTCTTCTAAAGATAAATTAAAACTATTGCTGTTTTGCCTCTTAGAGCAAGTGCTGTTTGGCGTATCCCCATTTCTCCTAAAATGCTCTTTATGCCCAGACTTGTAGGCAGTGAAACTCAAGTATATCTATGCTAGTGTTGGCCAGTTTCTGCATATGCCCACTGCAGAGAACTCAGGCCCTGAGCCAGGAGTTCTGCCCTTGTCCCACTTGCCTCCTAAATGCTCATGAATGGTGTGCCCTTTTGGGTCATATCAGAGGGTGCTGGTGGAAGCCTTGGTGTCTGTCCTCTTTACTAGAACTGTCATTCCTGCAGAAGTTAACCAGGACTTCAGCCTATGGGCTCTGTCTCTTCCCTTCTTTATGTATATTTGTACATGGATATACTCCTAAGCATCTCTGAAGGCCTGCTCTGCACTGTTGAGGACAGGGCTTTTTTATGGGAAGCTTTGACTTCTACCTGTATAATCTGGATCTGAGTGGCAGCAACTTGGTTTTGTTGGGTAGCTGCTTAGGTCTTCCAGTGTGTTGTAAGGGCTTTGTAAACATCTAGGCAGAGAGCTACCTGTGTCAAAGTTCACTTTTAGACAGACTGAGTTGGGTCTGGGGAATGCTGGGGCAGAGGAAGTCAGCTCTGTAGGTATTCCTTTTTCATGGGTGGAGCAGCTCTGTGATATGGAAAGGCGGATTTGTGCTGCTTTTAAATTCAGTGTTGGCCAGAGGAATGGGACTCTGAGTTGAAGCCACTTTACTGGTTCTCAAATTTTTTGTGGGGATACCCTCCCCAGTGGAAGTATAGTAGTAATTTCTATAAACTGATGCAAGGACGTCATTCCTCTCATTGGGGAACCTATAGGAACAAGTGGAGACAGTGTTAGGGTATGAATCTGGAGTCAGCAAGATGGAGCTGTGACTGCTGAGGGGCTGTGCAAGCATAAATTCTGCAGAGGGCCACTGGGCAACAGCAAGGAGGTGGGCATAGGACTTGTAGAATCTGCAGGAGGCAGGAGCTGACCTCTGGAGTAGTAGCCAGGACTCTCTGGAGGACTCAGGAGTGTGAGGCTTGCGCCAGCATAGTTGTCTGCCCAAGGTGGCCGTACCTACCTTCACCTGTGTTCAAAGATCTTTGGCCTTGTCATTGTCTGGGAATATGCTAGAATGTGAGCTGCCCATGTGGCATGTTGTGAATAGTTCTGTTTTCTTTGTCAACATTGGCTTGTATATTTTTTCCCCTAGAATCATTGCTAAGATTAAAGAATATTTAAAAAACAAAAAACAAATGTAAGCTAAGTCAGACTATGTAGTGACTCTGAAACCTAAGATCCCAGGACTAAAAGAGAAGTGTACCCAAGCACTGAGTTCCATGCTAGAAGGTAGCTGCTCTAGAGGTTCCTGCCTTAGGGTGCTGTGCTGGGTGAGGGTCCCAGGCTCTTTCTCCCTGGAGAGGAAGGATGGGGTGTAGCCCTTCTCTGACCTCTGTTTCTATCAGAAGAGGAACCTGTAGCAGGAAGGTCCAGCCTTGTCTTGGTTTAGTGGCCAAATGACCATTGGAAGAGGATCTGTCTATATACACCAAAAAGGGACAGGCAGTCCATCTGCCTTTGAAGTGTGCGTGTGTAAGCTTACCAGATTGTGAGCGGCTGTGGGACCAGGCGATGTGTGTGTGTGTGTGTGTGTGTGTGTGTGTGTG